TAAGGATTGTTTGGAGTGACTGACTTTTTTTTTAATTCACCAAGTACACGCTAAAAGTGATGTATGCAATATCTATTGATGAATTTTGGGTCCACAGGTTTGTACTGCTTCATTTCAAAGCTGTGGTTGGCCAGATTTTTACTGTAAACAACCTGAGGGAAAACAGAAAAGAAATAAATGAATGGCTCCTTCCTCTTCTATATTTCATGTATTCAAAACTGATTTTCGTTAAAATTTTTGAAATTTAAAAATTTACAGTGTTTTTTTGTTTTTTTGCATGCGATCTCGCTTTCTCTTTGCAAATAATGGCCTGATTGCTTGGTAAAAGTACTTATAGGGTTCAAATTTGCAATTTTGTAGAAAACTTTTTAGTAGAAGATTTAGTGTTTTAACAGTATCAGTTTTACTTAAATAACTTGGATATTCCAAGTATATGTTACTATTGCTAATGACTCCATACTGATTCAAAGGAAAAGTGTTTGGTATTCCAAATACCTAAACTAATGTCATTTACTGTCAAACCTAGAATGGATGCTATGGCTTTATATATATCATTTAGCCTCACTTGCTTTTGGGTTTTTAAGCAGGTAGGAATATAATCAGTTGATAATCATCAGTCTTTCTCATAGAATTTTGACTCTACAATTAGACTCTTAGACTGTCAAATTGTCTTAAAACAGCTATGCAGATAATAAATAATGGTGTTGTTGAACTGTGACCCTCATAGACAAGGTAAAGCCGCCCCCATAGGATTTCTTTACAGAAGCAAATTGCCAGGTCTTTTTTTCTGTGGCTCCTGTGGGGCTGAGTTCAGACTGCCAGCCCTTCAATGAGTAGCCAAGAGATTAACCATTGTGTCTCCAGGGCTCCGTAAATAGTGGTGTCCTTGTTGTTAAGTGCCGTCCAGTTTGCACGTAACCCTTGTATAGGGTTTCCAAGAAGTAGCCGGTGGGTTTGAACTACTCACCTTGCAGTTACCAGTTCAGTGCTTATCCTGCTGCACCTCATCAGGGCTCCAAATAGTGGCCTGCTCCTGCCAAACCATTTGTTAATGAATTTGAAAGGTATTACCTTTGTTTTCTTAAAGAATGAAGTCTATACAATGGGTAATTCCCACAATTTTCTATTTAAACACTTGCAGTTAATGATAGCAAAATTAGAAAATAATTAACACTAATAATTTAGAGGATTATAGTTTTCTTAAATCTTATTTCTAAATAATACTTTATACAGAATAAATGTTCAGTTCTCTCATTAATAACTTAATTATTCTAAACACTTTTATGACTTTATAAAGGTCCTTTCTTTGAAGGGTTATGGGGTCTCTATTTGAAGTCAACCCCCACTCTCCTGTGCAATTACCTTTTGCTGCCTGCTTTCACCAAAGATGGAAATGCTCCCTTTCTTACCACATTCTTTGCTTCTTAACACTAGGAAGGTAGTCATAGGCAATTTTCCAATATGCCTGAAGCAGTGTTCTTATGAGTTCCTTTCCTTCCATTTTTAAATACACAACTTCAAATATTCCCATCATTGACATGTTAACACTCTAACTCTCACAGGCTCACATGTAGCCACATGTTTGGATGCTTACAAAAACACAGCTGTGTGCACACCTTAAGACTTGGGGGAAGTTGAATCTCAGCATCTTTTGTTGTTGAACACCTTTTTGAAAACCTAAGCATTTTGATACAACTCATCTCAGTTGAACACACTGCTGGTAACTGTAGTTGAAGTCACCGATCATGTATGTTCATCCTTCAGACTTTAACCAACTGGCACACACACTGCAGACTTCTCAGTCTCTAAACCAATCTAATACACATACACAAAATTGCTTTCTCACACTTCTCTGCTTGCTAACTTTATGTGTGGCCCATTCCCAACCAGCCCTTTCTCTTGAAACTCAGCCAAGCCCATTGCTATTTAGAAAGTTTTGCAATGACACAGAAGAGGAAGAAATGACAGGAGGGTACACTGACTTAGAGCAGTGATTTTCAAACTTGAGTCCCACAGAAAGCAAGTGAGGTGGGATTAAAAGCAAAAGGACCTCCAACTAACTTTTCTCCATATTTGTTTTTTGACCTAGGAATTTTGGAAAACTTGCTTTTCTGCTTACCACTTACCACTGCTTATGTCACAATGCCTGCATTCTGACTCTCTTTGTCGTCTTTGCTCTTTTTATCTTTTTGTCAGGAATTTTTTAGGTTTGTTTTTAAAAGTTTATTCAATCTGCTAACAGCTAGAAGTAGAGATGCTAAAGAATGAAGAAGTACTTGAATTTGTGCATACCCATTTGTATGTATGGAATCCATGTGTGGTGCTGAAGGATAATGCACTGGACTGCAAAGTTGGTTTGAACTGCAAGGTCAGTGGTTCAAACTTGGAAACCCTATATAGGTTCACTGTGGGTCAGAACCTACTTCATGGTGCTGAACAACAACACCAATATGTGCATATATCAGAATTTAATGGGTTGTTGTTATTGTTAAGTGTCATTGAATCATAACGACCCTGTATTGGGCTTCCGAGGAGCAGCTGGTGAGTTTGAACTCCCAACCGTACAGTTCAAACTGACCTTGTGGTTCAGTGCTTATCCTACAGCAACACCTGGACTCCAGAGAATCTAATGTAGGCTATACCAAATCAGCCTTTCCTTTCAGAATTTGATTTATATAGTAAAAATGTTCTCTTTTCCATCTTTTAAGTCTGGAACTTATTTCCTCTTTGTGATTTACAAATTAATCTTTTTACTTGCATAATCAAAACCCATATATGTTGTGTGAAATACAGAAAGAATAAACCAATTAAATGAAAGAAATGCTCCAGTAACCTACACCAGGAAAAACAGGGGTCATAGGAAATAGCAAAAAAGAATGGAGACTTATTAGGAAGAATTAATTAAGCAAATCTGTCAGATTGAGTTAGAATCAATTCTTTGTCTCCAACAGAATATATTTTAAATGGAACTGAGTATTTTAAAATAATTTGAAGTCATTAGCATTCCTACAGCTTAATTTAAGAGTTTAACTAATATGTAACTAGTTTACATCCTGTTTTCCATTTTAGATGGCTCTAGTCGCTATGGGTCTGAACTGACTTGATACAACATTTGGAACATAATATTTGCCTGGTCAAAATTATTCAGATCCATGGTTTTCTAACTCCATTTCTTGGAGGTTTCTTCAAAATGTCTCAGGCGCCAGTCTGTAGGGCGAAAGAAACAAAGTCGGCGAGATCCCTGGCTCCCTTGTTCCAACCCAGGCAACCTCACATTGATCTCTTTTGTGTATTAGGCTTCTGATTAGGATTTCAATGAAAAGGAATCCAACTACTGAAGAGAAACAACAACAACAAAAAAAATCTCGAAAACTCCTTGGCTAATATCAAGCCCTACTCTGTAGTAAGGAGCTGACTTCTAGAGTTTCTTCCAGCACCAAAACTTAAATTGTGCATTTTCTTAATACCAAGTTTTGAAGCTCAGTCATGTGTGCAAACGTGTTAATGAAATGCATGTGTATTGTGTGGACTTTGAAAATATCTTCACTTTTGAAAAAAAAAAAAATTTAATGTTTTTTTCAAAAGCCAGTAATTGCATGCTGACCGCTAGAGCTACTAACTGGCTTTTTCTGTTAACAGTTCTTTAGGACAATGAAATATTATGTGGTACACAATACTGACAATCACCACGTGTATGAAAGTATACTAATTGGTGACCTTTTAGGGAAAGGGGTGTTTAGGAGTGTTGTTTGATTCTTAATTCAGTATAAGAAGTTAAACATTTTGGTAGCTTTCATCATGAGTTGTTTGTTTTTTAATAAATTACAAGAGTATTATATATCCACTGTCACAGATTTTGAGTTGAGTTTGAAAGGACGAATAGGTGCTAAGCTCTATGGGAACAGGAGATGAAAGCAGCCATGTTAGTAGGTTGTTTTGATTCAACCAGTCAAGGTGGGCTCCATGTAGGTTCCATTTCTACTGATGGCCATCTAGACCAAGCTAAAAAACCTGAAACTTAATTTTCAGGTATGTAAGGAAATATTAAACATTATTTAACTATTTGAATGACATAACCAGATTTGTGCCTCAGAAAATTCATTTTAATAGCAGAGTGGATTATATTGTTGCTGTTTTAAATGCTGTCAAGTCGGTTCCAACTAACAGTGGCCCTGTAGGAGCATCCAATGAGTTTGAACTGTCAACTTTGTGGTTCGCAATCTAATGCTGATCCTACAGCACCACACCAGGAATGAATTATAAGGGAGCAAAAATGGAAATGAGGACACAAGTCAGACCAGTTATATAATGATCCAAGTGAGAGATGTTACAGACCTCAACTAAGTTAGTAGCCATGGGGATGGGGGAGAGGGAAGCCAACTCAAGAAGAGATTGAAGAGAATTGTCAAGAGTTCCCAAAGAGATTGGCTATGGGGTTTATGGAGAGGGAAGGGTCAAGGAAAACTTCGCCAGGTGGACTAATACAGTTGGGTAGAGTAGGACTGCCATTCCCCGGGATGGGAATGAAGGAGCACAAGTTGAGATAAAGGTGGTTTGAATGAATGTGTGTAACTGTATGTGTGTGTGATAGTCAGGGATATAAAATTGTCTTGGTTAAGAGTACAAGTTTTAGAATCACTGTGTTCACATTTTTGTTCACTACTTCCTAGCTATGTAGCCTCAAACCTTTAAGACTGTTTTTTCATGTGCAAAATGAAAAATTATCATACCCACTTCCTAGGGCTATTATGAATGAGATGGTTTTGACTATAAACTAAAAAAAAAAAAAAAAAGTCAATAAATAGTATAAAATATTATTTACCCTCCTCAGACATCATTTTTCTCATCTATAAACTCTGGGAGTAGGGTCAGAGGTATGTAGCATTCGATGATTTCCAGGATCCTTTCTAGCTATAAGCATTTTCACTCTAATATGTTTCTCTATTTATATGTATGTGTAGACAAACATTGTTTTACTGAAACATGTTAATCATTTCCAGGAACTTGCCACATCAGACTCAGATTCCACAACAGCAGACTGCAGGTGAGTACTCAAATTAATAAGCTGATGTTTATTGATGAAGCTAATAGATTAATAAAAGATAATTATGGTGATATATAATGTATGAAGCTTTACCAGCTAAGGCAAAAACAGTTGTGTCATTCCTTAATCAGAGTTAGAACTTCAACCCAAATGCTGAAGAATTGTTTAGATTATTGCATCAATTGGTACCAGAGTGATAAGCACAGGGTAAATGATCTTAGAGCAAAAACATTCATGGAGGTCCTGCCTAATTAAGGAAGACTGAATGAAATCCCTTTCCTTTAGCCAAGCTCCTTATTCTTCCCATTGGTCTGAAAGATTGTTAGCTTGGATGCATCAGGATTTGTCTCAATAAGTGAGCAGCTTGAAACTGACTTTTACAAAAGGAAGGCATTGTGACTAATCACTGAGGCTTCATGGGGATAAATGAGAAATGGTTGGCTTGGTCTAAAGCCCCTTTAAAAAGCGGCTATAACTTAACCAGTGGCAACAAGATGGCGGACAATTCTCTCTGGACTATTCTATTTCCCTAAGACTTGCTTTCTTTAAGTTTATTTCTTTCAAGTGTCCCTAAAATTTTCCACAGCCAATTATTTCATTCATCTTAGTACCCAGTAGATACCTTATTCATGATTGTGTTCTAATTAGTGGTTGATTCCTGGCTTTAATTGCCAGGCAACCAGTAATGTCTTTGTAGCTCTTTTGGAAAAGCAAGAGGAGTTTTTAAAGTGTAAGGTGAACGAGGAATTCTGAGTATGAATGGTGGCATTGTGGCAGAGAAGCTATTAAGTAAGTTTCTTAAGAACTTCAGGCATATATATATATATATATATTTATTGGATGTTTTCATTTAAAAACTCATCTTCTCTGTTACTGCTTTCGGGAATTTAAGGAGATTTTCGTTTGACAACTTTTCAAAGATTTGAGGCAAGTATAATGAAGTTGTTCATCAAATTTTAATTATGAGATAACATTTATCAGAATTTTACCTACAATTTTGATCACTTGTTTTAATTAAATCCTGACGGGTTTCAACTGTTCAGGATATTAATGTGGGGAGCTACTATGTAAGCATTCAGGATATCAATGAAGGAACAAACTTTATTGTAAATATGCTACCTACAGTGCAAAGGAAAAAATGAATCCAGTACTACTAATATTTTTAAGAAGAAACCATTTTAAAGCATCTTTCTACAAAGGAATTGCTAGAATTTCTTCCACATTAACCTCGAGATTCCCATCCCTCCCAAGAGATCGTTCATCCGATTTTTAATTATTTCAGGCATGAAGTGAGTGGGAGGTAAAGTCTAGAAAAATAGTGAACATTTCTTTTGAGTTTTAAAAACCCAGATTTTATATCATTAGGGAAACCAGGAAACTTGGGTATTTAATGTTGCTGTTGTTAAGTGCCTTGGAGTCGGTTCCAACTCATAGCGCCCCTGTGGAAGGTTTCTGAGGAACAGTTGGTGGGTTAGCAGTCCTGTGCTGACCCTACAGCACCACACCAGATAATATTGTTATTGTTGAGGGCTGTCTAGTCGGTTCCGACTCAGAGTGACCCAATATAGGGTTTCTGAGGAGTGCCTAGTTAGTTCTAGCTGCCAACATTGTGGTCACACCAACCTCGTAGTCCCATTATTTTATCATTGAATACATTTTGAATAAGTAGACTTAGCTGCATTTTAGTAATAGGGAGCATTTTCAAATACAAGGACAAAAAAAAAAAAAAAAACCAAACAAATACAAGGACAATTTATGTATGAATAAATAGCATAAAACACCACAGAACTTTCCTGGGGGTGGGGAGTGGGGGACTACGTTGTTCAACCTAATTTTGTATATATTTTTCTAAAACAGGTTTTGGGAAGCAGGCATTTTACTTGAGTTGACTCCTATAGTTAACCTTATAGTTAATTACCTTCTTAATTTCTTATATTTTCTGCAATTTGGAACATATTATTAACTGAAGTATCTTCCTATATAATTGGTTTTCTTGATTTTTGTTTTGTGTTTATTTGCTTCTTTGTTGTTTTTTGAGTGAGTTCCCTAAGCATCTGAAGTGCTAAAGGGAGAGAAACCAGCTTCGCACTTTTCATGTAATTCTGATCAATTATTATGTTTCTGCCTTTGATAAATTTAAAACTAATTAGACTCATGCCACCTGGAGGAAAGAGCTAAATGCACAGATTGCGTCCCTTATTCCCATTCTGTCCATTTAAGTAAAAAAATAACGTTTCTTTCTCAGTCATGGATTCAGTGCTGTTAATAGCTTTTCATGGGTACACCGGCTTTTCTGTTCTCTCATACCACAAAGAGGTGGCTACATTTGTGCCTGATTATCATGAAACAATTACTTGCTTTTTCTAAGTATCTCAAAGCACTAGTTTAGCAGCAGTTTTCTTTATGATGTTTATTTAGACACAGGGTTCATCTCTTAGATATCAGATAATTTTGTTGGTAACTATGTGGAATTCATGAGAGGGAGTAGATTTTGAAGTGTCTCTTGCATTTAGTTAGTTATTTCCTCGTAAATTCCCATTAAAAGTTTAGGGAGTGGACTAGCTGTTGCTCTTGTAATCCTAGACTTACGTACTAGCTAGGATAATAGAGCATTTACAAGTTGGCAATGTTGTTGTTGTTAAGTGCCGTTGAGTTGGTTCTATACCGTTAGGGTTTCTGATGAGCGACTGGTGAGTTTGAACTGCTGACCTTTCAGCTCAAAGCGACCTCGTAGTCCATTGCATTCTCCTACAGCACATCAGGACTCCACAAGTTGACAATTGCCTTAACGTTTTGGATTGATGCCTCCTCAGGCTTTCTCATTTGCTCTGTCCTTCCAACCACATATTTTTTAAAAAGGCATTATTAAAAGCTATAGTCATACATTCCATAGTCAAGTACATTCTTTTTATTTATTGTGAGAAGATTTTCAGGCTGTACCTTTTGAAATATATAAAATATAATGGCTTTGCTCTAAGAAGGAGAGGATTTACTTAGAATTTTTTCCCTTTAAACCAAATGTTGAGAAATAATGCAAAATCATTATTTTAAGTTATCCTAAGTAGGTAGAAAATGTCTCCTTGCCATAATTTGTTTTGCTTGAAAACTGCAAGTGTTCCTGCCCTGACTAACTCATACCTATATTCGTTCTTACATACCGCAGGTAAATGGTATCCCTGAAGAAAGAAAACTGACTGAAGCAATGAATTTGTAATCAGATAACATAATCGTTATATCTTATTTCCTTTTTTCTCTTAGTAATGCATGGACTTTTCTGGAATATGGTGTGCATGTCAACAGTATTAAGTATATACCAAATAATACAACATAACTTTCATTTTATTAATGTATTTCTTTTGTACCTCAGACATTTTTGACATTTTGTAAAACACCAATGAATTTATATTTGTTACAATAAAAAGTGGTCTTTAAAATAAACATTATTAATGAAGCATGATGTCTGGTGAAATTCAGTTCAGAAAAATCTTTCATTGGCTGCTATTTTCTAAGAATATTTTAGTTGCTAGATAAGACTCATGTGTTCATTCCTCATTCAACAAGATTTCATTCAGTCCCTGCTATAAATATATAGAACTCCTGGTGTGGTGCTGTAGGAGCAGCGCTGGACTGTAAACCACAAGTTCGGCAGTTCAAACCCACCAGCTGTTCCTCAGAATCCCTACAAGAGTTGCTGTGAATCGGAACCTACTCTATGGCACTTAACAATAACAAATAAATATATAAATGTGTATACTTCTCTGTTCTAAGTGACCAACCATTTAAATAAGACTTAGGACCTAGAGAGTCTGCACTTTTGCATCCCACCTCTGGAGTGCTGTAGAGCAGACCCAGTTCATGAAGAGCAGTCTAGACTGCCTACTAACCTGATTCTGTGATCAGATATTTTCTGTTAGTTGTTTTCCAAAAAGAATAATTTCCTACTAATAGTGACAGGAATCACCTCCCAAATGGCCCCCTGCTGTGACATTACTACTTTCAGGTCTACTCCCTGCACTGAGGACACTATTGAATCAATGGGGACCAGCTAGCAGGACAGTGTTTGTTGCAGACTGCGCCAGCAGGAAAACCTTTTATTCAATTCTGGGTAGATTTCTGTCAGGGTAGATTTACCTGTTAATTGATCAAGCCAATCAACTAGCCCAACCCACTGCCACCAGAATAGAACTGTCACATGGGACTTCCAAGGCGCTGAATCTTCACAGAAGACTGCCACATCGTTCTCCCATGGAGAGGCTGGTAGGTTTGGACCACTTTATCTATTAGCATTGTGTGCTTCAACCACTGTGCTACCAGGACTCCCCATTGGTCTAGAGGACATATGCTTCTAGTATCCAAACAGACTTCCTATTAGTATTGTGTGCAGCACCTAGTTTTCCATTTAGGGGAAATAGTCTCTCATGTCCTTGACATTGGCGCCCCTAAGCCCTCCCTGAATTTGAAAGAGATGCCCTCTTTTAAATTGGAGTCCTGTGTGGTGCTGTGGTTTAATGCGCCGGACTGCAAAGCCGTTTGAACGGCAAGGTTGGCGGTTCAAGCTCACCAGTTGCTCCTCGGAAATCCTGTATGTTGTACTTGTTGTTAAGTGTTGTTGAGTCGGTTCCAACCCACAGCGACCCTGTATAGGGTTTCTGAGGAGCAGCGGGTAAGTTTGAACCACTGACCTTGTGGTTCAAAATGACTTTGCTGTCCAGGGTGTTAACCCACAGCACCACACCAGCATCCTTTTGTTTCTTTAAGATTTTTCTCTTAATCCTATTGCTTTTCAAGACAACTAGGATCTATAATCATTGCAATGAAACAAAGTATATGATTTGTTGAATGTAAACTGATAATCTGCCCTGTAAACTTTCACTCAATTCACAATAAAAACTTTAAAGGAAAAAAAAAAAAAAAAAAAAGACAACTAGAATACTAGGATCTCTCTACTAATGTTCCCAGGACTTAATCACCTAAATGTTGTAAATGTACTGGGTCAGAGTCATGTCCAGAAAGTAAAGGTTGCCAAGATTGCAGAGATTTAATAAATTGTTGTTCCTGCCAAGTGACAGCAAAGTGTCTCTAGTCCAGATGTGCAGATAAAGCAACCAGGAACTGCAAAGCAGAGGTCAGGAATTTTACTGATCTAGTAGTTGTATTCTATAGCTGTTCCCCTATAATATGGGAAACAGATGGTGTTAGGGGGGCAAAGTGTATGTGGATAGAACAGTTAGGAGAGTATTATAAACACAATTAGAAAAATGATAGCTTTGACTAAAATAGTGGTGAGAGAAATGGAAAGAAGTGGACAGAGTTAAGAACTATTTACAAGGTAAAATCAACAAGCAATTGTTGATGCATTGAATATGAAG